GCGTGGCCGGCGGCGCGGGCGCCGTCAGCAAGTCCGCGCGCCTCGCGCTGGAGTGCGCGTCGCCCGAGCTGCGCGCGCCCTGCCGCCCGGGCCAGCGCTGGCGCTGCGTGCTGGACGAGAACCGGCGCTGGCGCAAGCACAAGTGCAAGCCGCACCACCTCTTCTACCAACCCCCGCAGCCCCACCCGCAGCCCTTCTCGCACGCCGGGGTGAGTGCTCCACCCACGTGATGGATGATCGTCTTCTGAAGTATTCACGATCGATTGGTTACTAGCGATTCCGATCGCGTCAACAGCTAAGGTCATTTTTCCCGTAAGTGTAGTGCATGCTCTTTGCTCGGGACGTGGAAGTGATCTTCCCTCACTAAATGGTGAGATTTACCAACCCAGCGTGTTTTCCTCAACCAGGTATCTCCCACCATCGAGGCGCCGCCGCCGAGCGGAATGGGAAGGAAAGATCGCGCGCGGTCCGTGGCACATTTGTTAATGCTGCTCCGGCATTCTCCTGGTGTTGATCGGAGAAACCACGAAGAACCGGTCAGAGCAGCCGGCCGCTAGAATTGCATTGTTTGCAACGCAGTCTTAGTGCCCAGTCTACGTTCCTAATTACGGCGCAGTTCACCACTCTTCAATAGACTAATGAAAAACAGTCACTCTAACGTCAGCAGAAGATACTTCTCTTCAGGCAGGAGCTCTTATCACTTTCCCAATCAGGTGGCCATCTTTTTCAATTGGATTTCCAACCAAATTCTACTGACGCTCGCAGCCTCTCAGGCAAACAGTAGTAATATTTTTGGTATTAAATGATAAATTGTTATTTCTTCTGTTTGCGCTTATCTTATTGTCATTTACAGTATAAGTAGGGCAGCCTAAGAACAGTATTAGGCTGTAGTTTTCCATGGTTTCTTCGTTCAACATCAGGCGAATACCAGAGCAGTACCCTAACAAACGGGCCACGAACCGCGCGCGATCTTTCCTTTCTCGTCCTCTCCTCACCCCTTTCTTACACGCACTAATACTAACATGCACAACACCACTACACATGTCCAGAGACCGGTCGAGATGTTTGAGCCTGTCCCGTCTGGGGCGGTGCCTCACTGGTGGGAGATACCTGCTTAGGGAAAATCCCCGCAAACCGACGTATGTCCACGCCGGATCAAGCCATCCATCCGGGGAAGATCACCGCCTCCTCCCGCGATAAAACACGGGAGTAATGACATGAGCAGTTGACGCGCCGGGGATCACTAAACGGTCAGTCAACGAAGATTCGTTCCTGAGCACGCGCGGCGTTGTCGGCAGGTGGCGCAGCTGCAGCGCCTGGCGGCGCCCGCCGCGCTCTACCAGAAGCCCGTGGTCGGGGTGGGCGTGTCGCCGCTGGGGCCGCCGCCCCCGCCCGCCGGCGCCGCCCTCGCCGCGCACGCGCTGCCCCCCAGCCGGCGCATGTGCACGTGCGTGACGCCCTCCGGCCGCCAGTACGTGCGCCCGCTGCCCGACGAGCGCAAGCTGCAGCGCCAGTTCCTCAGGTGGGTGGCGCTTTCGGCGACGCAGTAGGTTGACGCTGGGAGCCTTTGGACAAGATCGTACGCGAACGATCAGAACGTCAGAACTTTTCTCCAAGCATAAACCAAAGTCTGCGCCGTTATAAAAACCTGTTCTTGAAAAAACGCGCTAAAGCCATTAACCCCTTGACTGCTCTAGACGAGTTGATACGCAAAATATTTCCGTGCATGGTCGCATCTGGACGAGTTATTACGCTCAGTCGGGTTGTCGCTGGGTGCCTCGGGACGAGTTATTACGCTCTGTCAGGTTGTCGCTGGGTGCCTTCGGACGAGTTATTACGCTCAGCCAGGTTGTCGCCGGGTGCCTCCGGACGAGTTATTAGGCTCAGTCAGGTTGTCGCTTTGTGTCTCTGGACGAGTTATTACGCTCAGTCAGGTTGTCGCTTTGTGTCTCTGGACGAGTTATTATTCTCAGTCAGGTTGTCGCTGGGTGCCTCTGGACGAGTTATTAGGCTCAGTCAGGTTGTCGCTTTGTGTCTCTGGACGAGTTATTACGCTCAGTCTGGTTGTCGCTTGGTGTCTCTGGACGAGTTATTACGCTCAGTCGTGTATATGTAACAAGGCGCACTAGAGGGTTAAGCCCCTATTATATTGTCATTTTTCATCGCTACAGAAAAGAGACGGACCAAATATTATTTGTACAGAAAATATCACATGCCTCATTTTTTGGTACAAATTTCACCCAGTTTGACTAAGTGCTCTTGGTGTTGCTTTTCGGAACGTTCTCTTATGCGATTTGTTGCTTTTGTACAGTTTCGAGAGCGTTCTAATACGTCAAATTGCAATGTGAATTGCTGTAGTGAGAAGTAAAATATGTTCCATGTTATAATGTCATCTCGTTCTGTGCTTAGTCTTAATATAACATATCTTAATTTTTAACATATGTTTAACTGTTTCATCTTCACCGCTTTTTGAGGAGTCTAGGGGAAATATTTTATCACGATTACATTAGGAAATGAAATGGTCGAGTAAAGAAAATCCAATTCGTTCATTCATTTTCGATACCGAAAGGCTACTACGTAGAAACGAACGTCCCTTTCCCATCCATTTTCTGTACAGAAAATTGATGAAAAAATGGGCCAGGCTTTAAGAATGGAGAAAAAACACGTTAAAGTTTCAAAGTCTGGGTTGCATTACTAAAAGGGGAAAATTATTTCGTTCATTACTTCATGGACGAAAACTGGTCTACCCAACAATGTTCAAAGATAGTATAGTTCACTTTCTTGGACAAAAAATGGCATCAATAACTCATTTTCCAATTGTCGGAACTTTTTACGTCGTTGTTACGCTGATTCTCCCAGTTTCATCGATCTCGTGATGGGATGATGATTGTCGTGTACAGTGATGATTGTATGATCGAAGGTTGTAGGTAGACATTATTTTTATCGAGTTACTTTTTCCATTCTGTGAAAAACTGTTTTATGTTTTTCGCGAAAAGGGGTGAGCGATTTCAGTTTTGAATTATACGGTTATTGGATTTTGGAGAGCCATACAGGAATTTTGTGTTGTTTTTTTTCAATTGTGTGAAAGCGATCGCAACAAAAAATGTGAAAACAGATATAAGATTTCATAATTTCGTAATAATTTTGTTTTATTTTATTTTTTGAAAATGGGTTTTTCACCGAGAAAAAATATGTCAGTGCATTTGCTTAAAACAAGTGAATGCGTAAATTCATAATATAGTGAAACCTGTGTTAAGCGACCAAGGTTAATTCCATCAGTAGTGGTTTAGAGTGCCGCTTGCTTAACACATTTTTTGGCTAATACAACAGCTTTTCCTGCTTTTTCTTATTATTTTCAATTTATTTTTTCTCTTCATCTCTTTCTTATTTCTGATAAAAGAGAAAGACAACATTCTTCTTCTTCTTCTTCTTCTTCTTCTTCTTCTTCTTCTTCTTTCCTCTCCTCCTCCTTGACCTTGGTATCCATCTAATATTAATGGTAAGAAAAAGTAGGAACCTGCAACACAAAATGGCGTGACGCATGGGTGTGAAGAGGGTTGCCTAAATGCCAGGCGACAGTGTTTGACGTCGCTGAGATAGCATTTTTAACCGATCTTTTTATGAAAACCGTTTACCACAAAAATATGTTTCTATTCCCATTGTATTATTCTTTCATTTGATTGGTGCACTGAATCTTGCTTCACAATTCTTGCTTCACAATTGCGAAACAATTCAATGTAAAAATTTAAATTACAAAAGGTACCATAAGTCGTAGTAAAAATATCGTATGAAATGATATGTATGATGATGTAATGGGTGTTAATACACTCGTGTGGAGTTTACGATATTTGCTCGTTCCTCGTTCGTATGGTAATATCGCACTCGTGTATTAATACTTACCATTACAACATCGTTTCATAATGCACTATTGTGGCGCCCCTAGGCGGCAAGCCAAGTAATTAATCATCCGGACTGTAACACCCGATCGGCTCGAGGCCTCCAATCCGTCTACTCACTACGTTCAACGGAGATGGGGCAGACGGTCGAAAGATCTGAGGATCTAGGTGGAGGCGGAGACGTCCACTCGGTCCCTGCGTCTCGCGGTGTCACTCACGTCGTTAGCTTCAGTGTGCAGGTAGCGAGTAGACGATGCTAAGCGCCGTGTCCACCCAGTGAGTTCTCAAGAGCGCCGACCGTTGGACGGGATTGGGCGAAGGACGTTCCTCTGAATTCTCCGGAACCCACTTATACAGCATGAAGAGCATGAAGACCCCTGTCAGGTTGCCTAGGTTCCGGCGATACGCACGTCGATAGCATCAAGGTGGAAGCAGTAGGAGGTTCTAGGCAGGGTGTCCCCCCAGTTGGGCACTTGACTTCATCGGGGCAGTGACCCAATACTTTGGGCGTAGAGGAGCGATTGTCCCAGCGCAGTATGAGTGGTGCATTGATTCGACGCCGGTAGTTGCATGGAAGGCCAGTGGTTCTGAGCTGTCAGGGCGACCCGCTCCAGTGATTGAATGGGGTGGTTGCCGAAAGTGATAACTGCTTTGCGGCGGGATCCGGATACCAATTGCCCAAAGGGTGTCAGCCGCGGGGAATAAGAGCAAAGGCAAAAAGCATAAATGCCCACTCCGGGATTTATCCTCTTGGAAGAAAATAAATGAAGGTGATGTAGTAGCCCACGCTGGGTTCACGATGCGTTCACCTTGGCACTAAGTACGTGCGTGTCGCCGGTACCTGAGCTGGAGATTTCAATTCCCCGCTAGGAGTACCATATGTGAGACTACTATCCAAGGCCGCAGCCCAAATCCGCCCGCGAGGAAGCAGTGTGCGAGCGCTTGAGGGTGGTTGTGGTTGTGGTTGTGGTTGCAGGGAGCACGCGAGCCGCGACCTCAAGGAGTTCCGCCCGCGCTTCCTCCTGCGCGCGCGCCGCCAGCTGCAGCACCAGCACGAGCAGCGGCAGAAGCAGGCGCAGCAGCTGCAGCAGCTGGAGCGGCGCCGCGACGGCGTCGTGCGTCGCTTCCGCCAGCTGCGCGCGCGCCTGCGCCGCGACTTGGCCCCGCCCCCCGGTGACGGCGACGACGACGCCCCCTCCACCCCCGCGCCCACCCCCGGCCTCGACCCGGCCGCCCTCGAGCGCACACCGGCTCCGCAGGTGAGTGAAGGGGCCCCTTCACACGGAGCCACCCGGCTGCGCCACCCGGTGGCGCGTCTGCTGGAAAAGCATTGGTTTAAATGGAGGGATTCACATGAGCGGACGAGTCGCTTGTGGCGCTCCTTGGCGAACGGGCGCCACACCTAGGTCTCTCGGTCCGCGCCACTGCTAGCAGAACATGTTCTTCACACGGAGTCAGTCTGCTGCGCCACAAAGTGACGCGTCTTTAAATGGACGTACAAAAGAATTTATTCTAATTTTTATTCTGTGACTGAATCCGTTCGTTGAGTCTTCTTAAGGGACCCATACTTTGGGAGCTCGATGCGGTGCACCGGTTACCCCAGCCAAGCTACATCTTCATACTAAGAATGACAGAAAGCAGACACGAAAGAAGCGAAGCAATAGTGTAATTTATATAATTTGTTGTTCTTTTATCAGACAGAAATTAATTATCAAGTTCATTTTTTGTAATCAATGGGATCTTGAATAGTCATAACATTCGCCGGTTCATATTCGGATACAGACCCCCAATCGAACTCCTGATCATCTGAATCCACCTTTAAATATCATCGATCCTCAGTGGGTCTATACCGACCCCATAGGACCGGGATGGGTGACCAGGTGACTCAACAAATCACTGCAGTGCCTCTGACCCGGAGGCCCTAGATTCGAGATCCAACGGTGGCAGGATTTTCGACACTGGCTAAATAGCTAGGTCGAGTTCTGTCACTGTCGGAAGGAGAATTCTAACGGCCAGCTGTTATCATTGGTAGTTTTCGGTGGTTCCTCCGACCAATACCAGGCAAATGTCGAGGCAGAACCTTAACAAACGGCATGGGCTGTGCGCGATCATTCCTTCCCTAACCCTCACTTACACGCACCATGCAATACACCACCACACATGGCGGGAGACCGGTCGGGAGGTTAGAGCTTGTCCAGGCTGAGCCTGGTGGGAGATACCTGGTTGGAGAAAACCCCGCTAACCAACAGGTATGTCGGTGCCGGATCTCACTATCCACCAGAGCAAGATCATCATCACCTCCCGAGGAAATTCCATGCACTACACTTACATTTCTAATGAACTTAGCAGTTGACGCGCTCGGAAACACTGATCAATCAACCGACCGCACTGGGAACCCCTGCTGTAGACTGAAGGCTTCAAAAGAGTTGACCTGAAAGAATCTCTCTGTGATGCTTTCCGAGTTTCAGTTTGTCGGCTGAGTTGAAGGCAGGAGCAGTGACGGCGTGGCTCGCTTGCGCAGGCGGAGGGCGAGGGGCCGGCGGCGGCGGCGGAGGGCGCGGGCGTGGCGGCCGGGTGCCGCGTGGCGGCGGACGGCGCCGTCAACTGTTCCTCGGCCGTGTACCGCAACCCGCGCGTGTGGCGCCACCGCAACCGAGAGGTGCAGGAGGAGATCCGCCGCCTCAAGATGCAGCTGCTCGCCTTCGAGGTAGCGCCCCGTACACCTCTCTCTACACACGCTGAATAAATAAATAAATAAATAAATAAATAAATAAATAAATAAATAAATAAATAAATAAATAAATAAATAAATGAGTAAAAAATAAATAACTAAATAAGTATATAAATAAATATATAAGTAAATATATAAATAAATAAATATATAAATAAATAAATATATAAATAAATAAATGAGTAAATAAATAAATAAATATATATAATGGATGTTGGTATTTAAAAGAGCGGTAAACTCCGACACCGTGTCCGAAATCCATGAAAGATGGCACATCTACGTGTTATTTCACCTGGTTTTTAAGCTGGTAGTTTTGTTGTAACTCCACTAGATGGCGCTGCAGAACAGAAGTGCGCGGAGAGACGGGGAAAGAGAGGGACAGGGACAGAGAGATAAAGACACTCAGGGAAAGTGACAGAGGGAGATTATCAAGATTTTGCTCGTGAAGCGAGCTTTTTAAAAAATCTGGGAGCAGGATCTTCAGGGTCGAGAAAGGTTTTGAACCCATTTGACACAATAAAATCACACAGATTGCACACAAACCGAGCGTATAATTTTACCATAAACTTTTAGTGGCATAAGTTAATGACAAAAACAAGAATATAGACATCGACTTTTACAAAGAATAATCAAACACAAATAGAAACCCTTTTACAACACAGCATTTCATGTGAATGAACACAATTTACTCAATTTGATACTCTGACATAATTACCCTAAACTACACTGGGAATTCCCTTGGAACAAAATTTTAAATTATTAAATTCTAAATTTGTCTATTCTAATAACATTGCACATGAAAATCAAAAATTCAATTTACAATCCTCGCTTCAAGATATTACATGTAAAGAACAAAATGTGTACAAGCTGCACTACGCTAATTACAATTGTAACTGTGTCTGAAAATAGCAAATAATAAATGTCCTAAGTGAATGTTTTTGCAGGCAATAGCGCATCAAAACGTCTTCTTACTAAATACTGTAGTTCTGTTACCACCCGTTGTCTCAAATTCGTTAACACTTTCCAATACTAGTTTTCCCTGCCGACTGACTTGAACCATATTTCTGCGGATCCTAACTGTTACTCGTAACCTTTGCTTGATGGTCGGTGCGGCTGGTCGCTGCGTGACCCGTTCGGTCGCGCTCTGCGTCGTAGAAAGACGGGATTTCGCCCCTGTCGTCTGCGTTGCTTCCTGCGTCCTCTTCCGTTCTTCTTCGTTTTCGATCCGTCTCTTTTTCTCGTGCGCCCACTCCTCGGCCTTTCTCTTCCTCGTCTGCTACCGGCGCCTGGCTGACTGACGCCCACGGTGCGAAAATGTCCCTTGCACTTTACCGAATACTCGTGCAAGTTCTCGCTCGTGCTACTTTACTTTTACAAGCTAGAACTTTAACTGTTCCCTCACAACGGGTAATTTTTTTACTTCCCGTGTTGTTAATTAAAGAAACAACTACTTAATTGCACTATCTCGGGACGACTGCTAGAAACGTCTGTCACGCCGAATACTTCCTACCAGTAGTCGTTGCAGCGGGCAAACAATATCTAAACTAATTTTAACGAAAGTGTTGGACTCGGTCGAAGGTGATCAAAGAGCCAGTTGCTTACTCGACGCGTGGTGGTGACAAGAAAAAGGGGGCTTTCTGCTGCGGGTTTCGCTATTTATGTGCGGCGCCTGGAGAAATTTTTCCTGAGGGGGGGTTGCTTCCCTCTTTTCAACCCTTCACAAAGAAAACATAGCCGCTAGTTCGCATTCGTTTAGTACGGGCAACGGATAACCAGGCCGCGCGTGTTAAGTACCTCTGCCTTACACGCCTGTATCCTCGCTGCTTCCGTAGTGTTCACACATGAGACGGTGGTGTTATGGGGTTGCACAATCCATAACGCCACATCATTCTCTAGTCTAATTATATTGACATTCACAAATTCCCTCTTCTCTAAGATTTTTCTTCGCCCTTCGAATAAAATCTAATGGCCTGAGAGTATAGAAATTATAAATGTTCACGACGACTTCTCCACTCTGACTTAATTGAGTCTTGGCAACATTAGGAGCAATTATACTCTGAATTTCATACGGGCTTTTCCGTATTTAAAACTGAAACAATTTTAGGCCAAAATAAATGCAATTCTAAGATTTATTTTCCACTCATTGACTGGATATGCTCCTGTCAATTTAAGACATCAACGGCTTTCTTGTTCGTGTTTAAATGTCTTAATTTGTTCCTCATCTTCAAGATTTGACACTTAATGTTTCACCCTCTAACATCTCTCTTACTTTTCCTTAGCTCAATCTTCCTCCCTTCATCGCCTTTCCTTACTTCTTCTCTTTTCTTTCTTCGTCTGCTTCTTTTCTTCCTGTCTGCTTCCTTTCTTGTTCTACTTTCCTTTCTTCTTCTGCTCTTGCTTTCCTTCCTTCCACAAGAATTGGTTGGTTGTGCGCCGTATTGTTTCCGAATAATTCCCTCTTGGATCATCTCGTTTATCAATTTTCTCACGTCATCACGGTAGGGCCACGGGATTGGATAATTTTTTGGCTTTTAAATGGTTCGTGAATCTGTTAGCTCAATTCGAAATTCATACCCTTTTACCGGTTCGTTATGACTTTTAAATACATCCTTGACGCTTATCAATGTTTGGAAACAACGCATTTTTTGCTGATCACCTTCTAATTTATCCTGCTCCATGATATTTTCTCCGCATTTCCTCCTCTACTTCATTTTCTCCATTTCCACGCTTACACCATTTCGATTTCTGCGAATTCTTCCGATTCGTCCTCCCTCATCTCCGTGTGCATTTGCGCCTCTTCACTCTCATCTCCTTCCACACATTTTCTCCGTTGATCAAAACTTCGATCTCCCTATATCAATATAGCGCCATGTTCCGTCAAAAAAATTCTATCCGATAATTAACGGGTTAAAATAATTCTTTAAACCAAACAATTACATCGAACACTTTTCCTTTAATTGTTACTTCTACCAATACTTGCTTCTTCACTGGATGAGATTTTCCGCCCCCATGCATTTCTACCATTCGAGTATTAATTGCGTCGGTATGTCTAAAACGTTACTTTCTTTCTCACGAGCTCTTTCATACAATTCTTCTGATATCACGATTTTAATTGATCCGGTGTCTACTTAACCCTTACTATGCACATCAGCGCCAACTAATTTCGATTACGGGGCATTTCTCCCCTTTTTGACTGTCCAATTTTCCCATAAATTCCTTCCATCATTTCGTATCCGGTTTGCAGTACAGGGATCGCGTGTTTGCTCGCTTCAATCTAATCGCTTGCGATTGGCACGAACCCTCCCCTCTGCAACTCGAAACTGCGGCAATGTGCCTTCCAAACTCCGCGGTCCCGCAATGCTGCCTTCGATCTTATACTGTTAGCCGTTTTCACTTTCGCGTCGACTCCGTTTGACCCTTGCTCCGGTGAAAACAATGTTTCACTTCCTTGCCACTTACTCGGTTCGCCCTCAGCCCGTCGCATGATTCCTTGACTGCGCAGTCTCCCCGCCCTGCCGTTTCATCATTTCCTAGCACGCTGCCCTCACTGGTGTCCTGCCTATGTTGTATCTGAAGTCCTCCTGATTTTTGTTCCCTCCTTTCTTGACCGATGAAACTGTCCGTGGCTCCTCTCTTTTAAACAATACAGTCGCGAGCTAGATCTACTATGTATCGTCGTTGATCGGATATTTTGATTTTGGTGCCTTCTGCGTTTGGTTCATATTTTTGCAAATGCTAAAGTCGTAGTTGCCTAATAAAACTTGGAATTGTTCTACGTCTGTTACAATCTACGCGACGTAACAAGTTCTGAGATGGCTAACGAGGAAATTGCCTCCTCGTGAGGATGCAAATTATTCTTCATCCGATAACGGGAGGAGACACACATTTTAGCAATTGAGTTCAAGGCCTTGTTGCTGAATATGGTATACGACTGTCCCTGAACAAGTCATTTCTGTTACTCTCTTCCGTCGTAATAGTGTTCATCTATACAATGCAGACTAGGTGAAGCATTACTGTCGCTAAACCCTCAGTTTATGAACACTAACCATTCCATTTGCGCCTTAGTCTTTCCAGTAAGTTAGATCTACTACACTTCTTCAACCACATTTGCAAGGGCAAAGTTTCTGAAACGCCTTGCTAGCGTCTAGGGCGATGTAATAATAATGTCTGTGATGCTTCGCGGACATTGAAGAGTACCGAAAAAAGTTTGTAATGCTTTAGAGAACGCATGCGGATTCTCATTTGGATGGCCTGAGAACCTGAGTGATGCCGGCACATGATATTGCTCCTCGCATGCTTCCGCGGCCTTCTATTTTAGTTTCTGCTATTTCCGCAAATTCCTGAATCTTAACGTTCTTGTTCTTCTAGTTTTCTGATTACTTGCCCTCGACTTGTCGCTTCGCGTCTGCACTGATTCGGTAACCTTGCCGGCGAACTTCCTGTACTCATTTTTGTATTTGTCCAAAACGTTACTCTATCTCTTCATCCTTCTTTTCGATCTCAGTAGATATTGAATCAATCTCGCCCCCGACCTTTGCATGCCTTTCCTCAATTAACTGAGTGCCATTGTTGCTACTTTGCACAGCATCTCTCCCCGAAGTTCGTCGCATTTAACAACTACTTCTGACATCATAGACTGTTGGAACTGCTCGAATTTTTCATTGAAACCTTTGTTCTGGTCGTCAATTTTTTCGGCTAATTTTTGCACTTGCTCCTCTATTTTTCGCGATTGTTCTTTAATTTCTGCTGCTAGTTTTTGCACTGTTTCTTTAGTTTCTGCTGCATTTTTGCCCTTTGCTCCTCTGATTTATCGCGACTGTTCTTTAATTTCTGCTGTTTAATTTTTGCCCTTGCTCCTCTGATTTTTCGCGACTGTTCTTTAATTTCTGCTGCTAATTGTTGCCTTTGCTCTCTGATTTTCTCGGACTGTTTCCTTTAATTTCTGCTGCTAATTTTTGCCCTTGCCCTCTGATTTT